TATAACTGATTAATTATAGTCTAAATAAAGAAATGTCTTTATGTGTGTGTGTGTGTGTGTGTGTGTGTGTGTGCGCGCGTGCTTGTGTGTGTGTGCGTGTGTGTATGTGTGCATGTGGGTGTTCTGTGTGAGTGTGTGGAGGAGGGTGCTTTCAACCTAGATATAGTTATTGCTGCAGGCTTTGGTAGCTATATATTGAAACGTCCCCTCTAGTTCACATGCCAGACACAAAGAGCATCCAAGGGGGGAATATTCAATTAGACACAACATCCACATCACAAATCCTGGTCTAATTTTAATCTCAGTTTCTGTGCTTTCATTTTCTACACATCAGAAGGCAAGTTTATCTCATGATTTATTGTCACCTGAACCCTGAGGATGAACTCTACAAATCGCAACTGCCTTTGTATGACATTTTTCTATTATTTGCAGTCAGGGTGGCTGAAATATACTGAACAAAATTATAAACGCAACACTTTTGTTTTTGCCCCCATTTTTCATGAGCTGAACTCAAAGATCTAAGACTTTTTCTATGTACACAAAAGGCCTATTTCTCTCAAATATTGTTCACAAATCTGTCTAAATCTGTGTTAGTGAGCACTTCTCCTTTGCCGAGATAATCCATCCACCTCACAGGTGTGGCATATCAAGATGCTGATTAGACAGCATGATTATTGCACAGGTGTGCCTTAGGCTGGCCACAATAAAAGGCCACTCTAAAATGTGCAGTTTTACTGTATTGGGGGGTCCGGGGGGGTCCGAAAACCAGTCAGTATCTGGTGTGACCACCATTTGCCTCACGCAGTGCAACACATCTCCTTCGCATAGAGTTGATCAGGTTGTTGATTGTGGCCTGTGGAATGTTGGTCCACTCCTCTTCAATGGCTGTGCGAAGTTGCTGGATATTGGCAGGAACTGGAACACGCTGTCGTATACGCCGATCCAGAGCATCCCAAACATGCTCAATGGGTGACATGTCCGGTGAGTATGCTGGCCATGCAAGAACTGGGATGTTTTCAGCTTCCAGGAATTGTGTACAGATCCTTGCAACATGGGGCCGTGCATTATCATGCTGCAACATGAGGTGATGGTCGTGGATGAATGGCACAACAATGGGCCTCAGGATCTCGTCACGGTATCTCTGTGCATTCAAAATGCCATCAATAAAATGCACCTGTGTTCGTTGTCCATAACATACGCCTGCCCATACCATAACCCCACCGCCACCATGGGCCACTCGATCCACAACGTTGACATCAGCAAACCGCTCACCCACACGACGCCATACACGCTGTCTGCCATCTGCCCTGTACAGTGAAAACCGGGATTCATCCGTGAAGAGAACACCTCTCCAAAGTGCCAGACGCCATCGAATGTGAGCATTTGCCCACTCAAGTCGGTTACGACGACGAACTGCAGTCAGGTCGAGACCCCGATGAGGACGACGAGCATGCAGATGAGCTTCCCTGAGACGGTTTCTGACAGTTTGTGCAGAAATTCTTTGGTTATGCAAACCGATTGTTGCAGCAGCTGTCCGGGTGGCTGGTCTCAGACGATCTTGGAGGTGAAGATGCTGGATGTGGAGGTCCTGGGCTGGTGTGGTTACACGTGGTCTGCGGTTGTGAGGCCGGTTGGATGTACTGCCAAATTCTCTGAAACGCCTTTGGAGACGGCTTATGGTAGAGAAATGAACATTCAATTCATGGGCAACAGCTCTGGTGGACATTCCTGCAGTCAGTATGCCAATTGCACGCTCCCTCAAAACTTGTGACATCTGTGGCATTGTGCTGTGTGATAAAACTGCACATTTTAGAGTGGCCTTTTCTTGTGGCCAGCCTAAGGCACACCTGTGCAATAATCATGTTGTCTAATCAGCATCTTGATATGCCTCACCTGTGAGGTGGATGGATTATCTTGGCAAAGGAGAAGTGCTCACTAACACAGATTTAGACAGAATTGTGAACAATATTTGAGAGAAATAGGCCTTTTGTGTACATAGAAAAAGTCTTAGATCTTTGAGTTCAGCTCATGAAAAATGGGGGCAAAAACAAAAGTGTTGCGTTTATAATTTTGTTCAGTGTAGTTACTCTTCATGGAAAGTAATGCATTACAATATTGTGTTACTCTGTAAAAAAAAAGTAACCAGCTGTGTTGCTTAGTTATTTTTCATGGAAAGTAATGCGTTACAATATTGTGTTACTCCATAAAAAAGTAACCAGTTGTGTTACTTAGTTACTCTTCATGGAAAGTAATGTGTTACAATATTGCGTTATTCTGTAAAAAAAACAACCAGCTGTGTTACTTAGTTACTCTTTATGGAAAGAAATGCTATAATATTGTATTATATTAATTTTGCGTTACTTTTTGTCAACTGGGTTTGCTTATTTGTTTTTTAATGACAAAAAAAGTTCACATTTCTCTCAACACAGGGACAGGTCAGTAAATAAATGGGAAAACAAAGTAACTTGTGCTATGTATTGGAAAAAGTAACTAAAAATTTTACTAAAATTGTACTAAATTTTACTAAAAACTTTACTACAGTAGTTAATTGAAAAAGTAATCAGATTATGTAACTCACGTTACTTTTAATGGTTTACCCCCAACACTGGTTATTTGCCATTTCTTTGTTATTAATTGTGAAATTTCTAGCAATTTCGGAGTAAAAATTGTTTCAACATCACTTTTTTTCACTGTAATCTGAAACTGTGAAATGTGGTAATGTATGTCAAAAAATAGTTGAAAATTTGGTTGTGGGAATCTCTGGAAACAGTTTTCAGTAATGACTGAAAGAATCAGTGAATCAGTTTTTTAAACTGGTTCATTGAAAAGAACTGGACAAACTGAGTGACCAAAATGAACTGGAATTCCCAACTCTATGTGGGAACAATATCACAATTTACTCAATTCCATAAACATTCTATAGGCCTAAAATTGTCTCTCACAACAGCTAATCAAAGCGATTCATCAGAGCTTCTGTTGTCTTCACCTTCTCTCCAGGTGTGACTGAAATTCTCCATATGCAGTGCATATATGCTGAATAACCATTCGGAAAACCAGGAGAAGAGAAGTTCCCACTGCTCTCCTGTAAACTGTCTCCACATCCTAAGAAAGACAGACAGAAAGAAAGGTCATGAGCTGTCTGTGTTCAAGAGGAGTTAAAAAGTGAACAGTTCATTACATAAACAAGATGCGATCAGTTACACAACGGCACACAGAGACAGTACGCTGCCTGTATATAAAACATTGTTGTGCGTCACAGAACGCAACAAACACAAAAGACCATGAAAAAGTCTGGATTGTCTTTCACAGTGTGCGCCTTGAGCACTTTCATGTTATGAAGCACATCTGCTTCTAATGTTACAAACCTGCCTAATATTCACAGCAAAGAGCAAGAGAAAAAAATAATAGTGCAGCAAAATTCAAACTAAATGCGTTTTAATTTATGTGGTGATGGAATTAATGAAACAGTTCACAGGCAGCATACTGTATTAAACGTGCTGGGTAATTAAACGCTCTGGTGGTCACTTTGGAAATACACATGGCAAAGTAGCATTGCTCCATTAAATATCAAAATATCAGCAGTTTCATAACATATTCATAAAACTTAGCATATGTAACAGATAATGTACAGCCATCTGTACAACACCAAACATTTAGGACTAGAAAAACAAAACAAAAACGAAAAGACATAAAAACATTGTTGTAAGTGGCCAAACATAAAATTTGACCATCTATATCTACAGTGGGTACGGAAAGTATTCAGACCCCCTTAAATTTTTCACTCTTTGTTATATTGCAGCCATTTGCTAAAATCATTTAAGTTAATTTTTTTTCCTCATTAATGTACACACAGCACCCCATATTGACAGAAAACCACAGAATTGTTGACATTTTTGCAAATTTATTAAAAAAGAAAAACTGAAAAATGCTCAGTATTTAGTAGAAGCACCCATTTGATCTAATACAGCCATGAGTCTTTTTGGGAAAGATCCAACAAGTTTTTCACACCTGGATTTGGCGATCCTCTGCCATTCCTCCTTGCAGATCCTCTCCAGTTCTGTCAGGTGGGATGGTAAACGTTGGTGGACAGCCATTTTTAGGTCTCTCCAGAGATGCTCAATTGGGTTTAAGTCAGGGATCTGGCTGGGCCATTCAAGAACAGTCACAGAGTCGTTGTGAAGCCACTCCTTCGTTATTTTAGCTGTGTGCTTAGGGTCATTGTCTTGTTGGAAGGTAAACCTTAGTTCCAGTCTGAGGTCCTGAGCACTCTGGAGAAGGTTTTCGTCCAGGATATCCCTGTACTTGGCCGCATTCATCTTTCCCTCGATTGCAACCAGTCGTCCTGTCCCTGCAGCTGAAAAACACCCCCACAGCATGATGCTGCCACCACCATGCTTCACTGTTGGGACTGTATTGGACAGGTGCCTGGTTTTCTCCACACATACCACTTAGAATTAAGGCCAAAAAGTTCTATCTTGGTCTCATCAGACCAGAGAATCTTATTTCTCACCATCTCGGAGTCCTTCAGGTGTTTTTTTTTTAATAAATCTGCAAAAATGTCAACAATTCTGTGTTTTTCTGTCAATATGGGGTGCTGTGTGTACATTAATGAGGAAAAAAATTAACTTAAATGATTTTAGCAAATGGCTGCAATATAACAAAGAGTGAAAAATTTAAGGGGGTCTGAATACTTTCCGTACCCACTGTAAATCTTCCCCAACATACTAAGTAAAACCTCATTTTCTCAATAAAATGCATATGAAGGTGATTAACAACCAGTCATTTTTAAAGAGATCTATTTTAAGACGGGGTTTAATTATTGGTCCTCTAGCAACCGAGTTTCTCCCTCACTTTCCCTCTAGAGGGCTTGTAAACTTACCTTGTTGAGCTGTTTACACTCCTTACATTCTCCACACATGCCCTGCACACATGTAAAACTAGAGTAGCAGAGATTCATCAGGCCAAGTGTGGAGTGGGTTCGGTGTTTAGAACCATTAACAAGTGGTCTGGCAAGCCACAGAAAGTGACAGATGCCGCAAAGAATGCTGTACAAAAGATCTGCCACACTTAGTTGCACCTTATTTTCTGCATCCTACCCTGCATATACGGCCACATCATCCACACGTGCCGACTGCATGAACACATCATACAGATTTCTCCACAACAAGCCTCAATCAGAATGTCAAAAACTCATAAACATATGTGTAAAATGAGCAAGAGTCCCAGCTGATATTATTCATGGGTGGCTTTTTTTTTTTTTACTAAAGCCATGCTAAATACAAATGTCTATATAAAATTGCAAAAAAAATAAAAAATTCCATTAGAGACCTATGATGTGCTTATCAGGGAATCACATTTTAAAATCAAATTTAAGACTTTTTAGGATGTAATACAATGAATATTGTATGTCCATACAGAACAAACCTATACAATCTCAAAATAAATCATTAATCTCAGATTATTTTACCAGATTAAACAGGCTGGGGTACAAATTCAACAACGAGTTAATAAGGCTTATGAGCAAAACAGGGTAGCAAAGTTTAAAAGACATGTTTTATTCAATATATATATATATATATATATATTGCATCAAAATGGCCTCACATGTATATGTATATACTTTTTGCCAATAAAAGCATTTAAAACTTATGATATGCTTATCATTGTTTTTCAGTATACCATAGAAACATGTGGAAAAATAATCTACAAATACTGAAGCAGCAAACTTTACAAAACACAAAATTTATGTCACTGCCAAAACTTTTGGCCATGACTGTACAAGTACTAAAAACAAATAAGATTTTTTTGGAGGGGCTGAACATAACTTGTGCATCCATTCTCTCATTTTCTTCAAAGTAAAAATTGCAGTGACGCACAAAGGAAATATATTATAGTTTACATAAGCCAGACATTGTAACGAGTGCACACGTGAAAAGTTTCTCGTGGGCACACAATAGTTCCCTTTCCGTCAGTCACTTCGACACTGTGTCAAAGTTCCGACACTAGGGGTCGCACTTGGTAGCCCAGACACCTCTGACATCATTCAGAAAAGGCCAATGACAATTGGCTAGCAAAATATGCATAGCTGGCCATTCCCCGGACATCCGGTATAAATAGGCCAGCGTGGCATTTGCTCACTCGTTCTGTTCATCCGAGCTGATGCAGTGTCTCTCTGTGAGATTAGCAGCATTCATTCACCTCTCAAACTCTCGTCGTTGGATCTACGGCACAGGCAGCGGTCTTTCTCTCTCTGTACACAGCTAAGTGTCGTGAGAGTACCCCTGGGTGCTTCAGCAGCGATTTTGAGAGCTTATTTCCACTAAAAGAGCAACATTCTCTAAAAGAGCAATTTCATAGGTGGAATTGTGTGTATCACATCATGCCTTTCCATCCATGTCCTTCAGGTTGTGGGTTCTACATCTCGCCTTCTGACCGGCATGATCGCTGTACTTAGTGTTTGGGCCGCGCCCATGCTGAAGCAGAACTCGTGGATGATGCGTGTCCTCTATGTGAGGACATGCCCATCGGCACGCTCCGCTCGCGGCTCGCGTTCTTTTCCAAAAGACTGCGAGTCACTCTTTCTGCTTCCCATTCCGGTCCTTCTACCTCCGGGTATGAGGCCGCAGCGATGTGCGTTGGGGAAGAGTGTAGGGAGAAGGGAATGGCTCTGCCGGTTGACTCCCCATGGACTTCCCGATCCTCCAATGTGTTGTGCACCCCGGTAGAGCTTCCGGATGAGTTTGAGAGCTCATCTTTAGGCGAGCTGAATTTCTCATTCGGGGCTCGTGAATAAGATGAGGTGTCACTCGCAGCATCGGAGGGTGGGCTAGAGCCATCTAATGCAGATGCCTCAGCGGAACCAGTCCCCACAGGGGTTGAGTTTCAATCTGAGGCGGACGCTGAGATGGCAGCCGTGCTTGCCCAGGTGGCCAAGAGCATCAGGTTGGAGTGGACTCCTCCACCCTGTCCCGAATGTTCGCGGTTTGATGATTGGTTTCTGGGTGACTCCAAGCCAAGACCAGCCCCAGCTCCTTTCTTCCCGGAGGTGCACGAGGAGCTGACGAAATCGTGGAAGGCCCCCTTCTCAGCCAAGACACGATATACCAGTTCCTCCGCCCTCACCGCTCTCAAAGGGGGTCCAGCAAAGGGGTACACGGAGGTCACTCAGGTGGAGAGAGCGATTGCGGTGCAGCTATGCACTGCGCATTTATTTGGAACGCATGCAGAGTTTCAGATCTTCTGAACAGCTCTCTGTCTGCTTTGGAGGTCAGCAGAAGGGGAATGCTGTCTCCAAACAAAGGATTTCCCACTGGATTGTGGATGCTATCCTTAAGGCCTATGAGGCCAGAGGCTTACCATGCCCACTGGGAGTGAGGGCTCACTCGACCAAGGGCATCACGGCTTCATCAGCCTTAGTGAATGGTGCCTCACTAGCAGACATTTGTAAAGCTGCAGGTTGGGCTACACCTAACACATTTGCCAGATTTTATAATATGAGAATGGAACCAGTTTCATCTAGGCTGTTGAACACTAGTTCTTCGACTTAGATGGCTGGTAGGGCGTGGAGCTTGCTTAGTGCTTCCCCTTTTTGAGGTGAAATATTGCACTTATTGAGTCCAGCGAGACAATTTCATATGTCGATTATTAATGGCCCGCTGGTATATAGCGCTCATACAAATCCCATAATGCACAACAATTGTTACCGTGCGGTCATGACCTCCAATCACCAAGCAACAGATCGCAGCACCAGCCCCTCCTCCCTGCTGCACTGTTGACATAGCCTACTCATCAGGGTTGAGCAGATAAATTGTTCAGTGCTTAAAATATCCCCAAAAGAAATGGCCAAACGAAAAGTGGACTTTGAAAACAGGGGTTTTCAAAAACGGTGGGAGGCAGAGTATATGTTTGTCGACATTGGAGGTAAACCTGTCTGCCTTGTTTGCGGTGGTAATATGGCCGTAATTAAAGAATATAACATAAGACGGCACTATGAGACGAAACACGAGGACAGGTACAAAGATCTCAACATACAGCAGAAGCTACAGAAGGTAGAAGAGCTTAAAAGGGGGGAAGTCGTGGCTTAATGGTTAGAGAGTCGGACT